AGTCTTGGGAAAGTCTAGATTGACTTGCTGTGGATTTACCTGAATTTTTCTAATCGGTTGCACAGTGAATTAGAGAAATGGAAAATTAGTGGGGTTTTTTTTTTTCTTCTTCTTCTTTCTGGTATCAGGGATGGAACCCAGGGGGATGCTTGACCACTGAGCCACATCCCCAGCCCTTTTTATTTTTTATTTAAAGACAGGGTCTTGCTGAGCTGCTTAGGGCCTCACTCAGTGGCCGAGGCTGGCCTCCAGATTTGATCCTCCTGCCTCAGCCTCCCACATCGCTGGGATCACCGTGGATGCACCTCCGAGCCTGGTCACAGTGTGCTGGACCGTTGCCTCCCGGGGACGAGGAAGGCTTTGCTCTCTGATGCTCTCCACGTCCTCTCTTCCTCAGGTCACAGAATCTGGAGCCATGGGACGGCCACTCTGCGGCTGGTGAGTGGCCCACCTGGCACAAGGGTCATTTCCTGGGTCCACAGGGAGGCTCCACCCTGCCCGAGTCTTCCTGCTCTTGGCCTCGGAGATGGGTGCTTACAATCCCCCCCCCGCCCCCGGGGTTGTGCCCTGGGCACTGTCCTCCCGCGCTCCTCCTGGAATTGCCACTCTGTTTAAAGTCACGCGGTTCATGATTGACGTGTCCTTGTGGACTGGGGCATTAAGGTTTCCGCAGTCGTCTGGTCTGTCTGTCTGTTCTACCTCTATTATCTATGTATCCATCCAACTATGCAGCTACTGTCCATCTGTCCACCTATTGGGTCTCTATCTATCTATCTATCTATTTAATCTATCCATCTCTATTATGCATCTATCTATGTATCTATCGTCCATGTATCCGTCTATCTATCCATCCATCTTCCATCCATCTTATCTATCCATCCACCCATCCATCCATCTCTCATCCATCCATAAACTCTGTCTATAGCTATCCATCCCTATTATGCATCTGTCTATGAATCTATCTTCCATGTATCCATCTATTTATCTGTTTATCCATCCATCTTATCTATCTATCCATCCATCCATATATACATTCATACATCCATCCATACATTGTCTCTCCATCCATCCATGAACTCTATCTATCCATCCATCTTCCATCCGTCTTATCTATCTATCCATCTACCAATTCATCCATCTCTCCATCTATCCATGAAGTCAGTCTATCTATCTATCCATCCATCCATCCATTCATCAATTCATTCATCCATCTTCCATTCATCTTGTCTATCTATCCACCCATCCATCCATCCATCTCTCCATCATCCATAAACTTTATCTCTACTATCTATCCATAATCTATCCATCTCTATTATGCTTCTATCTATGTATCTATCGTCCATGTATTCATCTATTTATCTATTTATGTATCCATCCATCTTATCTGTCTATCCATCCATCCATACATACACAGATCTCTCCATCCATCCATCCATCCATCTTCTGTCCATCTTATGTATCTATCCATCTACCCATCCATCCATCTCTCCATCCATCCATGAAGTCAGTCTATCTATC